CATCGGGAACAACAGAGTGCCTGACATAGGAGAAAAGCTACTTGAGAAATTTTACAGAAAAAAGAGAAAGAAAATACAAAAGTATTGACTCCTGAAATGATTGTACAGACCTATATTATCACAAGATAAGAATTAGATAAAAGGTATGATTCTAATAATCTATCATTTTAATGTATTTCGGTATTTTCTCTATTTTAAATTATTATAATGTGGAATAAATCAGTGTCATAGTGTGAGAAAACTGTGGGCGATACGGAAGATCTAATTTCAGATTTTTTAGCGCCAAAAAATACATAGTATTCACCTAAATTTGTAAGAAAAGTTTTATAAATTTTTTTTTTTGTTGGTCTGTTTTATCGATATATACAATTTTCAGATTTTATGGTTCTAATAGCATGCGTAGAAGATCTATAACAAATGATTGATAGAGAAGTAGACATCAGTAAAGAAAATGGCTTTCCTTAACATAAAAAACCACAGTTTATAGTGATCGCAAAAACACAGAAACATCAAGAAAGCTGAAAAATACACAGAAAATAAATAAAGAATGTCCAAAAGTGTAAATATCTATAAAAAATCAAAGAGTAATTGACACATAAACGAAAAGAACGAGTTAAGTATTATTACTAATTTTTTTGGTAAACATAAGAAATGGTTTTATCCAGGTTCATGTTTAAATCATAATGTGGCTTAAACGGCGCTAAAAGCTGATGTTTTAAAAGACAGAAAAACCTAAATCTTGTTCTAAAGCTGCCTCAGTATAATGTGATAGAAGACTTACCTTTAAGTTCTTTTCCATCTGGTGTACACGATCCTCTATCCATAATGCAAGCAATATAATTATTCAACAATCTGTCACTTTTTAAAATTTCGTCAAGGTCTATGTTATCATATTTTGTTGAGTACTTTTCGCAAAACGAAACGCCAACTATCACAAGAACAAAGAAAATTGAAATTTGCATGATATCTAGGAATCAATATTAATAAATCTAATGTTGATGATTAAACTATTGACATAATATGCTAATAGTTTCCACCCGTTATATATTTTTATGGGGAAATTAAAGGTAATCAACATTATAAAATTTATAAAATAGATTCCATAGGCGCCGAAAAATTTATTTTAAAAAATATATAGACCAAACATATTGTTCATCAGAAATTTGATGTGCAGAATTACATAAATTATTCGGATTCGAGTGGTATTTGGGAAAGAAAATGAATATAATATGCAGTTTATATCAAGTACCTGGATGACCAAAGAAAAAAAAAGAAAGTTTTTTACAGAATATAGAACTTTTAAAACTCGTATGTGAATCACAAGCTTATAAGTGAACCTTAGCATTGCTATCATAAGCGGAAAAATGTGGAGATTGCTGTGTATTACTTTATAAGAAAATTATAACCTCAATGGCAGTGGCGCACTCAGGGAGGGGTTTGGGCGTTAAACCCGCCCCAGGGGGCACTATTCCGACACTGTTGTTCACAAATTTTAAGAAAATTTCAGTGCCCAACCAAACCACCCCACAGGAAAATTCGTGGTGCGCCACTGCTCAATGGGAGGAAAAGGTGTTTCAATGGGTTATTCTTGAAACTAATCAAAAGCTTTTGATTCCTTGGAATACTTAATCCATATTGAAAAATTAAAAGAGGCACTTAGATGGATTTGTTCATATTTGTCACGAAGGAGTAGATTGTTGTTGTAGTTATGTTATGTATTATTATTATCCACATGCAAGCCATTGTGGAGAATTCATGTACTTTCACTGGATCGAGAACAGGGATAATTTTAAAACAAGTCCTTTGTCATAAAAATTAAATGTTTGTTTTAGTTATTTTATTAGTTTTAGTATTAGATTAGAAAATCGGAATGTGCATGAGTAGCAAAGTCAATATTTATAACTGGTGTGTATGTATCCCCCTATCCTAACTTTTTTTTTTATTGAGTTAATGCCTCGACAACTATGATCATTGGCATGGTACAGTCAGGTACCCAGTGTAGTGTGTGTGTATGTGTAGAGTAATTGTCTTGATACTTAGCAAAGTCGACGTCATTGTCTTTGCTAAGAGACGCTAATTGTATAGAAACGTCTGCGGTCTCTCCGGTGAGTACCGATCGCACAAGGATAGAAATTATTTTCATTCATTATTTTTAATAAACGAAAATTTCTCTACCCAGATGGGATTCGAACTAACGACCTTTAGGTTTAAAGGTAGGCGCTCTTACCACTGAGCCACAGAGGGGGTTATATCCTAACTTTGATATAATAAGCATTTAGTAAAAGTTACAATAAACGTATTTCGTTGAAACAATATGTTAAGTTTATCAACAAGAAAAATAAGAAGAACTGTCTTTCTGAAGGTGAAATCTCTCACTCTCTTTAAGAGGAAAATTTTACTCATCCCAGATACCTACGGTATCAAAAGAATTGAGCTCTGGTGGGACTCTTTCCGTGTTATTGAGCTCTAGTTGACATGTGTATCTCCCAAAAATTTTCATACGCATCTGAACAACGAAAGTAATGCATCTTTCTGCATGGTCTTATAAAGATATTTACTCAGACTAAGCTTTTTATGTTTTCTAAGAGATTTATAATACGCAATCCCTCAACTAATCATCCAGGGAAAGATTGAAGGCAAGAGAGGAGTAGGTCGCAAACAAATGTCGTGGCTACGAAACATAAAAAACTGGGCAGGCATAAATAACACTGGCGATCTTTTGCATGCCGCAAAAGACAGACGTCTGGCCTTAAGATAATTCGCCAACGCACTATAGGTGTACGGCACTATAAGAAGAAGAGATTTATTTTGGAATAATACCAATAGTAGAAAGAATAATATTTACTATCTGTATTCATTTCATTCTCCATTATCTTTTGTTGCATTTCGAAATCTCCGGTGCTTGACGGTCTTCCAGTTATATTTAACACGCAGATTATTGTTGTTAGGTATTGGCCCATCAGTTAGTATTGTTTGTCCAGTTAGTTTATTAAGTGGGTATGAGATCCGTCTATTATATGCCACTGGTTAGTATTTGAGACCAGTGAGGTCCCAGTATAGCTTGTAGTTGTCATTTTCAAGCATACAACTAGGGACTTATGGGTAATAAGGAAAATGGTTGGTTTGTTGGATAGTTATTGGTGAAGAATCTTTTCTACTGAGTCATGCTGTTCTTTATAATCATTTCTGACAAACGTCTGGCTGCGCCTCTAGTAATATGTTAAACGGTTTCTTAGGCTTGACTTCTACATCGGCATTTGTTGTTTTGAATTGTTTGGTTGTACTGATCCCGAATGGCGAGTATCGAACCTTCTGTTTCAAGGAACCTTTTTACTGATGTCAACTATAATTCGACTTACATTGTCGACATAATAGTCTTGATTGACTACATTGAAATGTTACCCGTGAAGAGATGAATATTTTTTCTTGCTT